CTTACATACTGAAAAAAATATTCGTGGAACAATGACAAATTAGTTAGAAACAAGATGGCAGTCTTCTGGGTTGTAGCGCCGTGTAGTCTGATAGAAGTTTGCTGATGTTTCGGAGGTGCTTTCCGCCTCCATCATCAGGGCGCCCTGATGTTGATTGTAGCCACCTCCATAATGACCGCCGTAACATCCTCAGAAGCTCCTTCTGAATCCATATTACGTGTTGGAAATGTTTATGGTGTCCCTCCCCCAAACGTATTCAGGGTGCAGGCTCTTAGGCGTTCAGGTTCAAAGAGTTGCGGATAGCCTCGAGAAAATAATTGTTGTGATCGCACTTTTGGAGTGACGTAACATCCCGCTGCGCTCGAGGCAGACAGCACAGTGTCCTTGCTCGCCAGTGCAGATGCACTACGGTCCGAAATACATTTGTGTACCGATTTAAAGGCTACTCAACATCATTCCCACCGAACGTCGTAGTTGAGTGTCTGGCACACTGGAGATATGAACCGGGGAAATCTCGGACTTGTTTTCCTCAGTCCCTCAAGTGCCGGGAAATAACCTTAAATTAGGCCACGACCGCTTCCTTCCACGTCCTTTCCAATTCATTATCCACTGTCATCTTCTCATTCGCCGTTATATTGTTATTTTTAAAAAAAACATCGTTAAATAAACTATGAACAACAACAATCACGAACTCAGAAGCAGGTCCACCTTCCGTGTAATAAAGTCTCCTAAAATCAAGGTCACACTAGTTGCTAGGCCGCTGTTCACGCCAGATGCGCAGAACCTAAGCAGATTCGATCTTCCGGGTTTTCCGAGCGGAACGCGTGTTCATTCTCGAACACAAATTCACGTTCGAAATCGATTTCTGCTGTTCGTGAATTCAGTATTGTAATTGGTTTAGTTACTCTGTGTATAAAAGGGCTTATGTGTATTAGTTTGGGTTGCGTTTTAGACGGGACATTCCGTACCAAATAAACTCACCAGCGATGACGTCAAGAAACAGGTGCATAATCCCGAATACAGAAACTGCACTACTTAAGTGTGAGTCAAAGCCAGTGGACTCTTCGCGCCAAAAGACACGTTTATTTTTGTACATTATTTTGTGCGTTGTTTGCGCCGAACCAGGTTACGTCTACCTGTATTATCCACCAAACCACTCAAAGAAAAAAAAAAGATAAGGCTGTCTACAATTAACAATGTGTTATACCTCGTGCCACAGCCCAGAAAATTACAATCTACATCTTCACTTCTACGAAAACCATTCCAAACAACGACTGGAAAATGTGAAGTATTACATTATTGAAAAGTCTTAACAAAGCAGCTCATATATTTCAGAATACATTATTTGATCAGTTTCTAACACAAATCCAATGCCGTCTGCCCTGTCAACAATAAGAATCCGATAAACAGTTGAATCACTACGCAGATGTTCAAAAGATATCACCCGTACAAGAGTAGCAATAGATAGCACATGATGTAAAAACATACGCGTATTTCAACATAAGATATAACCATTAACGACTTCCTACTTATCTTATTCATAAAATAAACTGAATCGAAATGCAAATCCAATTTACGCAATGCCCTCATTGTCAACGAAGAACATAAAAATACGTTTCAGATTAATTTCTTTATTCGAAAGCCGACTGTTGACAGAACAGCGTACTTTCAAACAGAAGACCTTATTTGTTTTTACGCATATTACAAAAATAATAAATAAATGCGATGTACATCTAATGATTAAATGTCTCAAATCTGATAATTTTAAAGAAAAAGTATTCGCAAAACGAAACACCTCCCACCTTTAAAAATCACGTGTTTATATATACTTGTTAAGTATTGTAAATTTGTATAATTGTATCTCCAAACTTCCACCTCACACGTTCATTCGTCCGCCATGTTGATTTAATCGATAGTAGTAAATTAAAAATTAAAGAGTTTAGTGTAATCTCCAATGACACGTCAACACCAAATGTTATCAAAATCCATCCTCTTTCTAAAGTTGAATCGTGCAGATATCATCTGCCAGCCCCACAGAGAACGCATCACATTTTAAGAATTCAGTCCGTACCGCAAAGAAAACACGACTCTTCACCGTTACATAGATCAACTGGTTAACGCTGTTTAAGAAAATAATCTCTGTTTATTCTGAGAAAAATACGGAACATAAAGATACGAAATGTAAAGTTGCTGACTGTTAAAGCAGATGGTACATACAGTTACCAGGGGGCTGTAAAGTATTAAATGTGCCTTTCAATTTCTGACGTAATGCAGCATTGTCCGTTCGTCTCTCTCTGTCGCGTCTTAATACTGCGACGTCGTAATTAGAATCTGGTTAATTTTGGTATGCGAGAGGCCATCTTTGAGAAATTGTGATTCTATTTTCTTTGGGCGTATGAAGGACCATCCGGGGCGAATATTTTCACAGCGCGGACACTTCCCCCATCTTCTCAGAGCAATCTGCCAACAACTGTCGGATGGCTTTGACGTCAACTAAGGCGGGGCGAAATCGTCACGAGGTGAATACGAATCAGGAATATCGCAGAAGAGTTTCTCGTGATTCGAAACGTTAGGTAATGCTGTAAGAACAGTTTTACCGACAGAAGACTGTCACTCCCCTCCGGTGTTCAGGTCCAAGCGCGTTCTTATCCACTGTTATGATTTATCTATTTCGGATACAAATCTATTATTGAAAATCTACTCGAACTAAGCACACGACAATGAACAGAGTCGTATATTTGGACTGCTGACAGCACTTAACAATTTAAAGCCGAAGCTCATCTAAATATTTAAGAATTCAGTCCGTACCGCGAAGAAAACACAACTCTTCACCATTACGTACATAGACTGGTTAACGCTGTTTAAGGAAATAATCGCTGATTACCGTGAGAGTCATACGAAACACGAAATACAAAATGTACTTATGTTTAACGCCTAAAAAGTTTAATGTGCTTTAAAAACAAACTTTTTTTTTGTAAATTGTTGCCTGTCGTGAAAAGTTTACCCAAGTAGTTATACTGAAATTCCCTAAAAAAAATCATGTGGTTATGATGAAATATCAACAATTTTACTCAAAAGCTGAGCAGACTAAGTTTTGGTTGCCTTTGTAAACAATCAATGGCAGGATTCTTTTCCAGAATGACTTAAATGTTAAAAAGTTAAACCACTAAATAAGAAAGGGGAAAATATCATGCATAATCTAACAGACCAGTTTCATTACTAACAGCTTTCTCTAAAATATTTGAGAAAGTCAAATACAAGAGAGTTAGTGGCTTTTAAACTCAAAAAATGAAAATCATTAATTATTACTGTCAAAACTACATTTTTAAGGGATTAGAAATACAGCTGGTCAGTTGTTTCAATCACATCTTCCTAACAGAAGGCAAAAAAACAGAAATAAAATCATGAGATTAAAATAATAGGACCTACTGAAATTGGGGCTTGATAAAATATGGAGTTCCTCAAGGTTCAATACTGGGTCCTCTGCTTTTCTTTATATATTATTATCAACAACTCTCAGTCTAAACCCACACGTTTTGTGGATGATACCAATATTATCACTTCACATCCAGAAATTGTTTCCAAATTTACATGAGTGATGTCTTTGCTAGCTTGAACAAATGGTTTAAAGCCATCAAACTCACATTAAATTTTGACAAAACAAACTTAATGAAATTTTGTACTACCAACAAAAATTGTGTTAATCTAGGTACAATTTATGGGAACAATACAACTAAATTATCTTTTATAGTGAACAAAGAACCAACTCAGATATCCACAATAATAAGTACAAGATACAGACATAACCTTCATGTGCCAAGCAAATATCAAGAAATACAATACTGTACTCGAATGGTCAGTAATATATATATATATATCCCCACTATAAAAGTTTGAATCACAATATAAAGAAGTTCAAGGCACCTCCTATCTCACTCCTACTCCCAAAATAAAATTAAAAATTACCTCTACCAAAAATTCTCAGCTGCAATAATGGCTATATTTTCTTGTGTAATTACTTTTGTGGTAACACTGTAGTTGACTATAATTACTGTCATAACTACTTAAACTATAATTTATATTATATTAGAAACAAGTATTGTATTTATGCTATGTCATGTTGTGCATCCTTGCCTTGGGCCTATGAAGAATTTACGGAATGTATAAGAATTCTATTCTAAAATTCGCTGAAAAAGTCCACTCCATACTCCCACTATGCTAATAGGCATCCCGAGAAACTAAATGGTATGCAATAATCGTAACGTTACGAAAACGATTGGGAAACATAAGTAACTTGCAAGTGGTTTATTTGGTTGTTTTATGACGCTGCTTGTACTTCCGATATTATGTAACGCTAACACAGCCACTAGAAGTACTCTGAGGTCACTAACAGTAACAAAAGTCCATAAATTCTAAGTAAATTAAAAACACGGAAAACAGGAACTTGAAATTGACGAAACTCGAATTAACTCAAAACTATTATACATTATCATGACATGTTGTTTATTCTTGGTTTAGGCCTATGAAGGATCTGTGGAATGTAAATAAATTCTATTGTATTCTATTCCAACATTTCTATTACATAAACGTAGCAGCGCTCCTCTCCTGATAAACATGTTGCTCCTGCAATTAAGTAACAACATTTATGTTGCCTAAATTAATCTGATATGAGAAGTATGCATGCAAAATAAATATCCATACGGCTTACCAAAATCGATGAATTGCTTGATGGAAAGCGGAGAAGGGTTAAATTGTGAATAAAAGTCTAACATTTTGGTAATGTTTGTTAAAACCTTCGGTGATAGTCTCATCGTGATGTGTCGTCTGTCCAAACCAAATATCACATGCAATATGCACAGCAGCTTCGCGACCACACTACTCTCTGCTTATAAACACAAGACTGACCTTCCCTTGCCTCACCCCCTCGTTACCAATATCAATAACACCATTTTCAGCACCATGATCCCTTGAATGTACATTCGGTGTTCAGTTTTCCACTTTGCTTTCTTATATGTAGTTTAGCAGTTCTGTCGATAGAGTAACTAGATTCATAAAGTTACCGAGAGATGGTAGAACAAGATGCTTTTATTATAAGTAGTTGCATATCTATTTTCGCTGAACCGGATCTCAAGAAGCTAGTGACTAAATTATGTGGTATGTTGGTAATATTAATAACACGCTGTTAAATAGTAGTGTTATAAATTATTTAATTATATATTCTTTATAACACACTATTCAAATTTCTTACATGAAACAGACAAACGTATTTTGAGTCATTACATTTCATGATGATTTCCGGGTGGTAGGAGGGATACACATGTGGTGGTTTGTACCGAATAGAATATCAAATTTATCAATATATTTGTAATTTGTATTTGCCTAGTCGCATTTGGTTTCGCACCCGAAGGTGAGGAATACAGGATGGCAGATTTAGATGATTTCTTTGCTAAGAAAGATCGCAAGAAAGCGAAGGGGAAGAAGTTCACTACTGCAGATGAAATTGCAAAGAAATTGGAAGAAACTGGTAAAAAGGTAGAAAAAAGTAAAAAGGAGAAAGCCGCCATATCTTCACAGGTGTCAGGACAGGGAGAAGAAGAACAAGGAAATCAGGCCCAAGTAAGTATTTCCGTTCGTTTGAAATTATTATTTATTAGAAATTGTACCCGTTTTCTTTGGCGGCCATATTGTAGACACTACGAGAGTTACTTGCCGCAGAACTTGTCAGAGCTGTATTTACTTGCAAAATATTATCTGTTACACTATGCCCACACGATCGAAGCATTTAATCAGTGTGCGAAGCACCTGTTTTACAGAATTGTGACCAATATGGGGTACCATACACTGAACCAATGAAGGTTATGAAGGAGATTTTGGAAAACGGTGTGCCGTGTCTGTTCATCTTCGTGCACATTCTCCCCACTCTATTTGATCTTCACCACTCTATCCACAAACATATAATATACTGCTATGTCATATTAAAAAAACTGCATACCATCAGACAGAAGGTGTATAAATTTAAAATCATGCATGATTTCTCGTGGGTTCAAGTCACTGTGTGTTTGTGTGTGTATTGGGGAAAACTTGCACTAGGAAGATTTTCTCAGTAGAATGACTTCCTCAAGAAACAGTTTTGATTTGTTAAACACTTTTATCTTGAATCCTGAATAGCTGGAAACCATAGTTTACGTCCCACCGAGCTAGATGTACGGTGCGTGCTTACTGTCTATCCGGAACTTCGGCAACCAGGTCACTAAAATTTATTCCTCTGAAGAAGCGTTAGAGAGAGATGCACGTGTGTGAGGTCATCAGGGACAGAATAAGACAGGAATGTGTGTTCAGTGGATATAGTTTCTAAAGTTAGATATTTATTTGTTGCTGGCATAGGAGGATGATGAGTGGAAAGAATTTGAAGAGGAGAAGAAAGATTATACAGGTCTTAAGATTGGAAACCTACATATTGAAGGAGAAGGTGTTGGCGGTGAGGGCGACGAAGAAGATGATCAGGAAATGGAAGAGAACGAAGCAGGTGAACTTGTGCCAAAACGTAAAGTGCAGTCAGGCCCGTGGAAGATGGTGAAACAACCACAGCCCACAGCTACTGAAGTTTCAGAATCACAAGGTAATTTAAAGTTTATGGGGGGGAAAAAGGAGATCAATGTGGAAAAACTTCACAAGGTAATTTAAAGTTTATGGGGGAAAAAAGGAGATCAGTGTGGAAAAAAACTGGCATAAATGGGTAGATAATATTATCAGGTAGCTTTGATAGGTTTCAGTTTGAACATGTTAATTAAATTTTGGATTCACAGTGACTTTATTCAGTGATGTTTGTGAAGGTTTACTATAATTATATTTTTTATAACTATTTAACAGCAATATGCATGTTTTTAAATGTTTCTTGATAATCATAGATTCTAATCATTCTGGTCTTTGTGTTTAGTTGTGGAAAAGCGGCCAGAGGGACCCACGGGCAGCAGCTCGTATGTACCGCCACATCTACGTAACCAGCCAAAGGAGCCCTCGCACGCTAGTAAGTGCCTTGCCTAATGCAGCTTCCTTTGTTTGCTGCTGTGTCACAGTGATTTTTAAATGATGTCACCTTGTTTCAGATCCTCGGTCAAAGAGTAAAGCAGCGCCTGATATCAACAGTGAAGAGTACTTCCCCAGCTTGTTTGCAGCCAAGAGTACAGAGCCAGCAGGAGCATGGGGAAGGAGGTGACTAAGATTGTCAATAGACCCTGAGAATTTATTAAGTTCAATATTAAACTGAAAATTTGTGTCAGCTGAAATTATTTCATGAAACTGCAGGTTGCAGTACAAGAGTTTGTATATGAAATTCAGCAATGTTTTTGGTGCTTATTCTTAATCAGCATACGATTTCAGTACAATAGTATGTACCTTGAGTTAGGCCGTAAAATAATGTGCTGCACTAAGAAATATAATAGTAAAGCTGCCCCACTATATGCCATGTAGGCACTTGGGGGAAGAGGAGGTATAGCTCCTACTCAATCTTGACCTCAGCACAATATGGGGGTGAGTGGTCAGCATCATGCCTCGACCGCGCTTTTCACCGGGGAAAGGACTCTGGTAGCCTTTGGGTAGGAGGCTGGGTAGGCCCCAGAACCAGTCTGGCCGCAGAGGCTAGAGGAAAAGCCCTCTGTCCCCATCAGGGGTCAGACCCCGGTCATCCAGTTTGTAGACAGTCACTATACTGACTTAGCTATGCTGGCTTGCACTGAGAAATATTTGCCAAACAAATTGTCAGTTTGGATCTGCTAGTCAGATAGTAACTGACGTTTCAGAAGAGCTTAATGTCTCCATCCTGATAACCAAGGCAGTAAGCTCGTATGAAATATCGTTCAGCATCTGCTGGACTACACATGCCAGAAGACAGCTGTCTTCATAATTCTCATATGAGAACCTCACATCTCACTTGGACTTCGTTGTTGCAGGAGGCGTGATGAAGGTAACTTTGAAGAAGTACGCAATAGCAAGTCTCATTCAAGTCGATATTCTGATATTGCCACCAAGATGTCTGCCAGTGGTGCAGGCCCCAAACTAAACTTGGGCAACAAGTATGGACCCCTGAGCCCAGAGCAGAGCTGAGC